GTATTGAAGTTTGCAGGGTTATGCTTATATAGTTTTATAGGGATGAAAATAAAAGCAAAATAAACCAATGGAACTAGAGATGAGCGTTATTAAAATAATTATACATTTCACAAGCTCTTTATGATTAAAATAAAGATTTTAGAATGTTCTTACTTTGACTGACAAAAACAAAATTCAAGAAGTTATTTTCTTCGTGTTTTAAAGATTTTGTTCTTATGTCGAATACGAATAAAACAACGAAACGAAAAATCCTTCTTATTACTTTTGATGGGTATGCTGGATACTTTCTGAATAATGTTTTTGTTATTGGTCAGAAGCTAGGATTTATCCTATAAAACAGGGTATAATTCTAGAAAGTTATTTTTCCATAGAATGCACAGTTTCTAGTTATTCAGGCGTAGGATAAGAATGCCCACCTTTCGACAATGTAACAATCCAGTTATACTGATCAGAAGGATGTGCATCAGTTGTCTGCTTAGTTCCGGAGCATTCTTGATGTTTTTAAAACCAGCATATCCTACTACAATTTGTAAACGTTCCTCTTGAAGTTCAGTCTCTGTATTGGCTTCTTGTTCCATATCTCCAAAAGTGTTTTCCATAAGCACCTGGATATCATCTTTTTCATTAATATCATATCAGCATTAGACTGGACAAGTACTTATTTCATCCAAACCTGTTCACAAATTTCTGTTGACATGAAGGCTTTAATATAAGGAGAAGTTTTAGACGGTTTTGAACGTCCGTGGGAGGAAGTTAGTTGTGATATTGACCAAATCCATAAATTTATGAAAATGTACTTTCAAGACAATCTTGGTTAATTCTAGATGTTATCACATAAGGAATCCCCCTTTCCTTTCCCAAGTAATCAAGCATGTTTTTCAAACTATTAATTGAAATTAAGATACCATCCTGAAAAGGAATTATTGCATTTCTTCCCACAACATACATATTTTACACTATCTGATATGCATCATTCAATATTTTATTTTGCATTGTTAGGCGAATACCGTATGTTTTTTAAGCAGTTTTCTTATCATTCTTCACTCTGGGGTTCATTTCATCAAACACGTATCACTTAGCTCTAAGAACCATTTCAATTTGTAATTCAGGAAAAATATACTGGATAGATTTAGCATTTCGATGTGAAAATACTTGTACTGCCATACTAATATTATATCTGTCGCTACCTGTAACTGCATTATGCTTCCAAGATAATTTGTGTGGAATTATGAATTCTTCTTGGGCCTCTTTTTAAAACATCAAGAATCAGTTTCTTTATAATAACTGTGCCACAAGGAAGAATCAATTAAGAATCCAAAAAAGGGGTTTCTCAGCAGTTTTTATTACGTGAGGAATGTAAGGGAAAGTAAACACAGGCTTTTGGTTTGATAGATTAGAGAATATGGAATTAAGCTTACTCAGAAGTTCGACTTTTTTACAGCTGAATTTTATAGAATAGCTATGAAATACAGTTTTTATTACGTGAGGAATGTAAGGGAAAGTAAACACAGGCTTTTGGTTTGATAGATTAGAGAATATGGAATTAAGCTTACTCAGAAGTTCGACTTTTTTACAGCTGAATCACATAGAATAGCTATGAAATACAGTTTTTATTACGTGAGGAATGTAAGGGAAAGTAAACATAGGCTTTTGGTTTGATAGATTAGAGAATACGAAATTAAGCTTACTCAGAAGTTCGACTTTTTTACAGCTGAATCACATAGAATAGCTATGAAATACAGTTTTTATTACGTGAGGAATGTAAGGAAAGTAAACACAGGCTTTTGGTTTGATAGATTAGAGAATACGGAAATTTTCGGAGACACATTAAGCTTACTCAGAAGTTCGAATTTTTTTTACAACTGAATCACATAGAATAGCTATGAAATAGAAGCCTGTTTTATGTGTCTGTCTCTGATAGTACTTTTGGTCATGAGTCCCGGGAGGATTAGATACACCCTGTATCTCTACCTCCCAATGTCTGTCTTCTCAGCTTCTTGAATCACGTTTTAACTAGTGCTTTTCCCGAAGGTGCCAGCAAACTGTACGTAGACTGGCTGCTTCCACTTCACAGTAAGTTGTTCACATGGTCCATACATCTCGTCTTCACCTGGATCAAAAACACCATTATCTCAATCGACTTATGAAAGTACGTAGAGCTTCTGAAAATCCGAAAGTAATGTTGTTTTCCTTCTCATAAAAATAAATGATTGAATAACGGATACTGGTATACAAGAATCTTTTTTTTTGCCCATTTATTTGGTACAACAAATAAGACAGTATTCTGAAGGCTTTCTTCGAAACTACTCGGTGGCTTATAGCAAAAGCAGATATTTTTCCCCAAAAAATAACCTGTTTCTTTTCGTAAAGAATTTTCTGTACTTGAGCTAGTATGAAAATCCCACATTCACTTGAGATATTTTCTACTTCTGCTACTCCGTCTGTTGATACTCTTTTATCAAGTTTCTGATTCTCTTTTATTAACGCACCAAGTTTTGCTTGGAGACGAAGTTTTCCTCTTAGAAACCATAATAACAATTTTTGTTGTTGTTTTAAGCCTAGCTCGTAATCTCAAAGTATCAGAGCAATTTGTACATTTCCAAGGCTTCTGTTTAGTAAATATGGTTTTATTTTTATCGGTCTTGCTGCAAGAAAACCCAAGTTCGTTCAACTGTTCTTCCATTGTCTTCTTTATACTTCTCTTTCCACACCTACGCCTTCGATTTACTGTTGCTAATTTCACCAAATAAGGCTCGATATTAAGCGATATTTTGAGAAGCAATAAGTCACTTTCAAGTTTCCTTTATCGACGAAGAATTATAAGTTTCGTTTTCATATTAATCTCAAAATCTTCCTCAATAAATGAATAGAGTAAATTTGACGGATTCTAAATTAAAACTGTCCGCCCGACGGCAGGCATGAACCCAGTCTTTGCGTAAGGTTTCGTTTTTCTATAAACGATTCTCTATTTTTGAAAATTGCAATTGCACACTCTGGCACGTCGCGACTTAAAGTTTAAATAAAATAAACGTGAAAAAATCTAACACGTTGATTCACTTAAAACAGTGTAGTCTCATAACTATGCTGTGCTATCTATAAAAATACGATCAAGTTCTTCAGTAAAATAAAAACAATCGGCACCAGTGATGTCATCGAGACAAGAAGGTTTGTTTGTTTTTGAACTTTGCGCAAACCTACACGAGCGCTATCTTCGCTAGCCGTCCCTAATTTAGCAGTGTAAGGCAGCTAGTCATCACCACCCCGCCAACTCTTAGGCTACTCTTTTACCAACGAATAGTGGGATTGACCGTTACATTATAACGTCCCCACGGCTAAAGGGGCGAGCATGTTTGGCGGGACGGGAATTCGAACCCGCGACCCTCAGATTGGGAGTCGAGCGCCCTAACCACCTGGCCATGCCGGACCTCGACAAGAAGAAGAAATATTTCCCCACCAGGGGGTAACAACTGTGCTTTGAAAAATATTACAATATTTTTTATTATATATGTATATATCACATACGATTGCTATAGAGTACA